TAGTTTTGTTTAGTTCAAACTAGCTTAGTGGACTCCTCATATTTTTTAAGTAGTATAGTCCTTTAACTAATAATGTATAATGACGAGTTAGTCGTTATGTGAAAGTCTGTAAATTATTTAGGTATTTCTCAATATCTTAATAAAGACACGCCATTGCGGCATGATTGCGGGTTAAAAAAAAAAAAATAAATAACTAATGGTAGATCCCAAATTCTTATATGACTTTTCAGTCTTGTTTTATAATACCTAATATTTTTTAATAGTCACACCTAGTTGAAGAAATTTTACTGATATTTATCTTATTATAATATTATTATACATTATTTGAGGAAATATATTTTCAATTCTATAGATGAATAATGTTTTGCATTTTTCTGCTTTTTAGTTTTATAGCTTGACTGGGATAAGGAAATAATTTTCTTTATGTACTTTGTCTAATTAGGATTATAAGAAGTTAAAAACCTTAGCTTAAACAAATATTACCTTTTCATTATCTAAGAAATTTAGCACCTATTCTAATAATCTTATTATTTCTTTGCTTCAATTACACTTTATTTAAAGGAGTGAAGGAGTTCATATTCTTGATTTCTTTTTCTTTTATCAATAATGTCATCAAAACGCATATATATAATCAGTAAAATCTTGTTTATATTTTACTACTGTAACAGATTAATCAATGAGTCTGTTACTAATGACCAAAAGCTCACATAATATGCAAATAAAAAAGTCCATCCTTCTATTATACACACACAAAAACAAGGCAAAGACGTAAAAAGATTTGGGTAAACTCAAGATAGTTTTCTCTAAAACTACTTATAACTTCACTGTTATAACAATCTATCCAAAAAATTTATTATTTTATTAAGTTATTGAAAGAAGTTACCTTTATATATTTTACATATAGAGTTATTACATAATCACTATAGCTATTCTAATATTATGTTATGCATAAATTACTTCATAATCAGCTAATTTTCTATTACTTCAACTCATAGTTTTTACCTTTTTGACACGAATAAATTGTTTGTGTATTTTTCTATCTTATAAGAAATATGGTGATAGTTGGCAATTAATTGTTTTACATAAACTTCAGTCATATCATAATTATTAGTCACATGATCACAGTGAAAATTTTGAACTTAATCTAACTTCTTTGATCTTTAATACTACTAATATATTTTATATTAATCAATTAGAAGCCAGGTAACATTATATTATCAGAAATTTAGAATTAAGCTGGAATAGGTAACATTCCTCAAAAAAACTATGAAAAACTATAGATACTTTAAAAGGATAAAGGATAGTATATAAGAAGATGGATAATAAGTCTTTCCTTGCTTAGAAAATCTCTATCTATATGACACGTCAGCTCTAAAAAATAATATCTACCAGTTGATTCTTTTATTTCTTAGAATTTTCTTACCTTTAATAGAAAAAGTATATGCTTGAGTTTATTTAGACTATCAAAGATTCAAGTTTTTGTTTAAAGGAGTTTATAAACAAGTAAAAATAGTAACTTTTTAAGACAAGCTTCAAGTTGTTTTAAGAAAAATATGAAGATTTTATTAGTCAAAAAATATAAAAACTTCTTGAAAATATCTTTTTTGTATATAGTTAAAGCATCAGTGAAAAAAGTTATTAGAAATATATTTTTAAAATTCATAATTATAATATAAGAAGTATTTATAATACAATTAATAAATTTTTAATAAAGATGTTATTATTAAGTTTTAAAATAAAAATATTATTTATAAAGATTAATTTGATCTTATAATTAAGAATAAGAGAAATATTAGAAAAATTGCTTTTTTATAATTTTTTTTCCTTCAATACAAATTAGATACTTATTTGGTTTGTTTTTTTTTTATACTTTTCAAAAATTGATAAATAATATTTATAAAATATTTTAAGTAATAAAAAGAATTTTATATTTTTAATTTAAAATAAATAGATTTTTTGATTTTTTCTAAGTAATAAATGGAAATGGAATTAAAATTGATAAAAATATTTTCAAGAAAAAACAAAAGTTTTGGAAATTGATATATAATAGTAGATAATTGAAAATTTTGTAAAAGTGTATTAAGAATAAATTTAATAGTTTATTTGGTAATAATAGATTTAGAAAAAAATATATATCTTTGATAATTTGATAAAAAAAAAGATTTATTATTTGCTTTTTTTAAAGAAGTATTGAATTGTGAATTACTAAAGTGAAAATTAAAATTTGTTAATTCAGATTTATTATATAAACTAATTACTAAAGATAAAAAATTAGATTTATATTTTATAGAAAAATTTAAATGAATAATTATAAGATTATTAAGAATTTTTTTGATTTTTGTTATATGATTTAAATCTGAAAAATATATTTTTTCAATAAGAGAAAGTTTAAAAAAAATAATTATATAATTGATTTTATCAATTTTCAGATAAATAAAAAATTATATTGTGTAAAATTAAAGTAATAAGACTTTTTAAGAAGAAGAATAAGAATTAAATGGTAGGGAATGAGGATGGAAATGAAGTAATGTTGAAATTTTTTTTCTTAAGTTTAAGAAAGGAATGTTTTGTAAAAATAATAATATTATTATTATTAAATTTTAAGATGATAAAGTTTGAAAGTAAAATAAATAATAATTTCTCGAAAAGATATGATGGACGATCACGTGTCACTATAATATGCAAAAGTATATAATGTGACAATAAAATGTTGTGATATTAAAAAATATTCGTGTAACAATAAAACCGTGATATTACAAAGGCGATATCACCGTGATTATCGTCACCTGACTAGAAATACTGGCATATTACCCGAGATTTTATAAACTATTCTTTTGAGATATGGTGACTTCATCAAGAAGGTCTAGTAGCCGAAAATCGACTTCGATTTACTCTCGACCTAAAGTTTATGATCCTAGTTCTGATGTAAGCGATCTAGAGTCTGATGACTTAGAAGAGGAAACCATTAAAACTGAAGAGGCCTATCAAAGTGATGAAGAAATGGACGGATTGGAAGACTTATTACAAGAAGAGGAGGAAGAGGAGGAAATCGAGATAGGGCGGGAGGAAGAAGAAAACGAACAGATTGAGGGTGACGTCGAAGAGATGGACGACGGAGATGCGACACCTATTGACGATGATGAGTTTGACAATGAAGAGAGTGAGGAAGAAGAGCAAAGTGATTATGAAGAAGTTCAATCACGAAGAAGTAGAATGACACAAAAAAATCCAACACCGAAGCCGGCTTCAAGGTCAAAACAAAAAGAATATCCAGCTAGCGATAATTTAAAAAAGAAAAGTATGCGTTCAGACCTTTTGATCGACAAGAGTCAGTCATTTCAAATTAATACTTTTTTTTTTAATCAACAGCTAGGTATATTCTCTGAAATTTATTTTTACGTTTTCGTAGTTCCGCTCTTTATTTTTTGTCCTTTGCTTAAAGCACGGCAGAATCATCATCCAATTCAGAGAATCGTATTCTCACCAAGCGACAAAGGGCCAAGCTCAACGAAAATTATGAACAAGATTTACTTCAACTTCCGATGGGTATATGATCTTTTGCGAATACTCAAACTGAATAGTATTGCAGGTCAACTTTAATTTTACCTTATTAGAGCCAATGAGAAAAAAACATTTGACAGAAGAAGAGATTCAACTTAGAAAATCGGAAATTGCGCGACGTAGAAAAAATCAGAGTATTCAACGCGCAGAACAGGATAAAGTATATTTAATTTTGGCACTTTTGACGTTTGCCTATTTTGTTTAATTATAAACTCTTATAATTGTAGATGGATACCATAAATCGCCTCCTGAAAAAACAAGCTACTAAAAAACGATCAAAGGACCTGGATGATAATGATAGTGTTCATAATAATGATGGCGGATCAAGTGCAAGTATACCAAATGTATTTCACTATGTGACCAATCAAGAAGGTTGCTCATTATCAGTACCTCGAGGTGTTAAGATACCAATAGAATTTTCGAAGGGACCAAAGTAAGATCATAAGTCAATAAATCGTAAGGAATATTATATTTGATATAACTTATTTACAACTTTCGTAGCTACCCACCACCCGTCCCAATGTGTTCAATTTCTGGCTGTCAGCTGCCCAAAAAGTATCGCAGTACGAAGACATGCGAGTTTGCATGTTCTATGGAGCATCTTAGGAAGATTGAGGCTTCAGTATAACATTCAAGGTAGAATAACCAAACTCCTAATGTCGCTTAATTGAATTTATTGATTTAAAAAAAAAAACAATCATTTTACATTCGGTTGTGATAATGTAGGCACCGTAAAGAATACTTGAGTTAAATATTTGATATCGCTACTACGCTTTAGGTTCCTTCTCATTGATTAGCTAGCATACGTATTTTCATTTTTATATTATAGGCGTATTGTAAATTTCTATGTTAACTTATCGTCGCATCGCAAACTATAAATGTCCCGTGGAATCTCATAATATGGGTTAAATTTTAAATGTTTCATTTTCTAAATGTTCCGGTGAGTACAAATCAGATTGTTAGTAAATCGTATACTTCGCGCATACAGTAAACAATTGGAAGATAAACTTATTAATATCAACTTCAACCCTATATATTGAATCTTCTAAATACAATTTTATATAAAGCAATATAGATATTAAATATAGAATTTTTTATTTTAGCATATACAGTTTAAATTTCAAAATAGAATTATTATAAAAGAAAAAAAATGTTGAATTTTTTTTTTTACAATAACCCATTACGCCAGGTTAGTAGTATGTTTTATTATGTTCATTGATTATTTAGTACAAAATATGTTCAAATATATTCAAGCATTGTATATATACATGATTTAAACTAATCTATCTTCTATTAATAAACTTATTTTAAGCTAGAGTCTCTAAGTTTTTTTTTTTTTTTTTTTTTTTTTTTTTTTTTTTTTTAAAACACACAACGTCGCCCATTTTATTGATTATATGCTTTACATATACTTTCATTTACAAAACAATTTTATAAACTATTTCTATGCTTAGCGAAACAATAAAACCAATTGGTGAT